AAAGTGTTATGTGATTTGAACAGATTGCAAGATTGTTTCTACTTTTTTACTGATAAGAAACTTGACATCAAAGTCACTAATTTTTAGCTCATTATAATGCCGTTTTTGCAAAACTTGATTTAGTAAGTGCTCTTTTTCATAAAATTATACCTAATCCTAGATCTGTTTGATGACAACTTGAATTGTAGTTTAGCTTCGACACGAAGTGGTTCGAAAGTCCTTCTAGAATATTCGAAAACGTAGAATATTTGAATGTACGGTTATTTTTAATAAGTTCGTTGACAAGCTCTATGGTTAAAAGTCGATAATTATTATGTTATTTGACAAAGGCCAAAATAAGGCATACTTTAGACTATAATGTTCTGCGTTAGAAATAGTGAAATTATGCATCAGTTACGATGCATATACTTTAAGATTGATTGATTGAAATTCAATAATTAGTTAAATCATGAATACGTAACTCATTTTGATCGATTTCCCATGAAGTAAATAAGATATGGAGTAAAATTTCTACAAATTGTAAAGTGCCTAATGCTGACTGTATGCGTTCTAATCATTGTTTTGTAAGCTTCGTTTTTGTCTCATGTCTTTGGTACCGCTTTTGTTTTTTCTAGTTATTTTGTTAATTGATTTTTATCATAATTTGTTTAAAATTGTTATAATGGTTTACTAAATGTTAGATGAAGCTGAGAATAACTGTAGTGTCAGGGTAGGGCTGGTGTTACTTTTTAGTTGAAGGTACTTGATAGAAAGCTGGGTTTGAATGTGCGAATTGCCGACAACTTTACCACTAACTTTGTAAAACAGTGATCATATGTGATTTTTGAATACACTTTTGAGGTTCTCATTTGGTTTTTGAAGTTGCATTTCTTTAGTGTGCAAGGAAGTGACCGTTGGATTAAATCATCTTGGATGGTTACATCATAGATTCACATTTGTACCGCCAATTTTATTATGATCCACATAATAAGGTTTTTATCTATTCAGGGTGATGAATTTTTGGCGGTTCTTGTGAATGTTTGAAATTTTTGATTGTATGTATATATATATATTGCTCGATCTTTTCAAACAGCTGTATTTGGGCAATTGTTACTTGAAATGAAAAGTTAAATGGAGTTGATGTGGATATTGAAAATTGTGAATTAGTTTGTAATCTTCGTGAACAGTTAAATGCTGCTCATCAATTGCTAACTGAAAAGTTACCAGTGGATACAAAGAATGGTAACGATTGTTTATTCACTTCATTATATTTCCTCGTGTACAATGAAGTTTCCAATGATGATTTGAGTGATTAGTTTCTTCAAAATTCATCAAATTGTTATTTTGATTCTTTTTATCAATTTGAAAATGATTTTTTTGACAAGTTGATTGATAACACTACCATGTAAAATTCGTCTTCACTATTCAACATTACCTCAATGTAACTTCAGTGACAATTAATTAAGTTTGTGTATGAATTCCTAATCGATGATAGAATTACAGAGAGTATCAAGTAGATAGATGTCTTTGTTTTCCTGATCTGAGAATCATTTCTACATTCCACACAAATCGATGCATTCATTTTTTTTTTAACTTCTGTAAATGTATGGGAACTAATGGTTTTCTCTTTCGGTATTGGGTTATGTGAAGTGATTCGCCGAGATGTTCGTATTCTTATGTGCCTAGTCCATTGATTTTGATTTGATTGTGTTGAATATTGTGTAACGATATCTTATGCAAAGAAATGAACAATCTTCTCTTACATTCTCATTCAAACTGATTATAATTTAATTATAGTGTTAAGGTTTTTGATACAGTCTGTATGATTGGATTACCTTTTTCAGTATAATGATATATATCATCTTTGCTCCTCTTCACAAGAGATAGTTTTCGTAGGTGAAAGTTATTCAGTAGTTATATTTTGTGCATCTATTTTTTTTAGTACTGTTGGAAACATCTCGATTGGTTGAAACAGAACGTATTCAATTACAAGCTGAAATGGATCGTCGCCTTTCGGAATCGGAACGAAATTATAATTCAGCATTGATAGAGTTGGAGACAGATCGATATGATCTAATGCAACAACTCGATGAAAAGAAACTCATTAATCATGAATTAAAAATTGAAATATTGTCAATTCGACAAAAACTTCAAGCTAGAGTACGTCAATCGTTTGATGTGGTCTTTTCAAAGACAAAGTTAATATCTGAAGTTATTCGCAAAGGAATCATATCGTAGTTCATTTAGTACATGAAACTTACCTGTCTAAGTTGATTTTTTGAATATGATCCACAAAGCCTAATATTGAAATTTACATCTAATGAATGGCTAATAAGTATTTTGTCAATGAAAAATGTTAAATCTATTTTGTTATCTTTTGCATAAACATGTGTCATTTTATTCTTCTTTAATGGTGTGAACATAGCTCTTAAAAATAGGAGATATTCGTCAGTTGTTAACATTCAATCGTAGGTTGTGGTGGTGTTTCGTTCTCTGAGCTGGATGGTTTGGTTGTAGGGCTTCCTGTGGATTTTCTGAACAACGTCAGCACAAACTTCAGATAGAAGCGAAGTATTCGAATTTCTCCACGTTTTAGGTGATATCAACTACAAAATAAACTGGACGTCCTCCTCAGCTTCGTTTACGTAAACACCAATTATCAGTCAAACACGACAACGCTTCGCTTATATCGATACATACGGACATTTATGTATATACGTGCGATTGGAACAATATGTGGATACTGGATAGGGAGAGCACAAAGGAGACTAGAGAATTTTTAGAAGCTTAGCACTCAGGTCAATCAGAAATCAGCAAACACATCGACATTGACCCAATTTATCAACCAATCAGAAAAATCACAGGCGACAAAGGATCAAGAAACAGATCAAAAGGGGGAAACAATCAAAACAAAGGTACAAACAACGACATTTTTAAGGTAAACAGCAACCAATCAAGATTGAGGTTAACAGAACAAGCTACGAGTCGTACTGATAGCAATTCGAATAGTTCACTTCTACTTGAAGTTTTTGCTGATGATGTTGTTCAGAAGAACAATGAAATTTCCACAACCAACACATCCATATCAGAGAACGGAGCACCACCACAAATCATCCACCTGAGCTACAAATTTTCCCCACTATCTCATCAATCATTGATGTATTTATGTCTTCACTCATACATTTTAAAACAAATGGGTGTGTAGTGTTCAGGTTAAGAATAGAGAACTTGATAAACGTAAAAAATGGATTGATGAGACAGTGATTCTTCATCAATCGAGGTGTTTGAGAGATGTGTTATGTATACCTAACCAACGCCGTCCTAGACGAGCACTACTGTCTGATGTTTGAGTTAGCTGAATGAAGGCTGGAGGCGACAAATACACGACTCAGCATCAGTCTGTTAAATTAATGACCGTTGAGTAAAACCACGTAGTTCATTTGTTGGGTTCTGCGCAACTATCATTATCAGTGTTTCAAGAATTTGGATGAAATGGTTCGGAATCCTATGCATTGGAATATACAAATTTATTGTTTACATTACTTTAGAACCCAAGTTCCAAACGTTTATATCTTTTTTGTGTACCTAATCTTCCCCTCTGCTACTGACACTGATACTACTTCTATTTCTCTTGAATTTGGTTTGAGGATTGTATCTCACCGTGCTAATGTATTCTAGCAACGTGATCTGATACACATTCATGGCACACAAGTAACTGACATAGGAAAACCAACTCTTCTAGCCACTGAATTTGTCTTTGATTTCAAATCAGTAGTATGTTTAAGTCAATAATTGAGTGTTGAGAGTAGCCTTCATTCATCATTTCATTGCTGTCATCTATTGGTCAGCATCCTTCTCTTTCACGTTAGCAGTCGAAAGTTTCGATCGTATAAACTCAATAAAACGTGAAAAAATGGTGTTTTGCATCATTTCTAGTTTTATGCTCGTTCCTCAGTTTATGGTGTGGCAGGGAGGATATTTAGAACTTTTATTTAACCAACGCACAACCACTTTGTACGCGTTTTTGGTTATTTCTTTCGACTTATGTGTAGGAGAAATTTATCGATGAGCAAATCGAAGAAAGAGAATTAGAACGAGAAGAATTCCGTATCGAATTAAATCGTCTGAAAAGTGAACTTGAAACGAGAAAGTTAGTTTCGTTTACAGTTTATCATGTTAATTTATGTAATGGAAGAGTTGTCAATTGAGTAAATCAATCAATGACAGGTGTATTGGTTTAGTTCATACTTTACTTATTTATTTATTCTGATTGAAGTAATTTTTATCGATGTAAGAAGAATGTGTTATATTTCACTTGTCGAATTCTCCTCCTGTTTCTACCACCAGCACAAGGACTGTGATATGAATGAATCAATGTGTGTAGGTTTGACATTGTTCTTGTGCCTAATAACAGTCGTAGAATAAAGATTTACTACTCCGATGTCAACATTTCACGTAACTCGATGAAATCTGCTTATATTGTTTGAACTACTTAGTTAGGGCTTTAACAATTTATTTTTCGCTACATCATGAGATCGTAGTTGATTGATAATGCACTTGTTTTTTAATCGATTGTTTGGGTGAATCCACTACCAGTCCTCATATGAATAACTAAACATCAGTAACAACTGAGTCAACAGATATGTATTTGGTAAATAAGGTTTGCATAAGTGCGATAATGTGTTGGGGATGTTAGATCCCCAAAATTCGCTTGATAATGCCGTATTTCGGTTTTCACGTTCGCCAGCAGGGGCTGATCAAATGACCTTTTAACTCCCACCAGGAAAATCAATGGCTGTGATTGGCCACAGTGTATTTTAGTATGCTATTTTCTTAACTGTCTCAAGGACGTTGTTATGTTGTATAAATAAACGAGAGTTGTATGCTTGATTGTACTGGGATTGCTGGGTGTTTGTAGAATATACTTTCTACGCTTACCAAGACTTCTGTTTTACCGCTGGATTCAAGGTAGCCTTCCTGGAAGCTGGTAAAAGTATCGTTCGCGTTTATCGACTAAGGTAAACTCGTAATAGCATCAAGCATCCTAAGTGACGAACATATCAGTGGCGACGGGGTAAAAACCATATCCACAAAACATATCAGTGGCGACGGGGTAAAAACCATATCCACAAAACATATCAGTGGCGACGGGGCTCACAATTCACAATGTCAATTAATCTTGAACAGTTAGAATCTTTACTGGAACGTCAAGGTAAACGATATGAACAGTTCCAGGAACGTATGTTGGAGCTGTTAATGAAACAAATGAATTTGAATCACAGAGGTTTTGCCGATGATTCATATAATCCGCATACAGACTCGATAGTTAATTCCATTCATGAATTTCATTTTGACGGCCTTGCTGGTGTGACTTTCGAGTCTTGGTTTAAGAAGTATGAGGATTTGTTCAAGGTCGACCTCAACAATCTTGATGACGCCACCAAAGTCAGAATCCTTTTGAGAAAGCTCGGCACAATCGAACACGAACGTTACAGTAATTTCATCCTCCCAAAGAACCCACGAGATTTCTCTTTTGATGCTACAATTGATACGCTGTCGCAAATCTTCTCTGAACAGTCATCTCTCTTTAATATTCGTTATCAATGCCTCAAAATAATCAAGTCAAATGAAGATGACTGGGTAAAGCATGCTGGCTTAGTAAATCGTGAATGCGAACGATTTAAATTATCATCAATGACGGAAGATCAGTTTAAGTGCCTTGTGTTTGTGTGCAGCTTACAATCTCCCGACGATGCTGATATAAGAACCAGAATCCTAAGTAAAATTGAACAGGGCCCAAACATCTCGCTTCAAGAAATAACTGCAGAGTGCCAGAGATTAGTAAACTTGAAGCATGATACCTCCATGGTCGAAAACAAGGGCCTCTCATCATACGTGCATTCCATTAGTGAAAAGAAAAATTCCAATTCGGCCCAAAAAACCAAAATGAATCCACCTTCTGCTTGCTGGCACTGCGGTTCATGGCACTATGTACGGAACTGCCCATTTAGGCAGCATAGATGCAGGAAGTGTAAAGTCATCGGTCATAAAGATGGCTTTTGCCTACAGAAAAAGCCAAAGCGATCCAGAAGTGCTAAGAAGCCTGTTCCTAGATCCAGTACCAATGCATTGAGCCTAATATCTTCCTGCCAAAGTTCATCACCAGGTGAGAGGAAATTTATTACTCTTAATATTAACGGTTATTTGTGTAGAATGCAAATAGATACTGCATCTGATGTCACTATCCTCTCACGCAAAAATTGGACCAAGTTGGGCAGCCCAAGCCTGCAGCACACAACACAAAAGCCTCGCACAGCATGTGGTAATTATCTTCGTCTGTTAGGACAATTGGAATGTAAAGTTGCTTTCCGGGATTCGTCGTTTACTGGGGTATGCTATATAACGCCAGCTGATCTAAATTTACTTGGTTTAGATTGGTTCGACCAGCTAAAATTGGCTGATGTCCCGCTAAATACCATATGCAACCTGGTATCACAACGACATGACCCAGAAGCGTATACGAAGAAGCTGATGACAGAGTTTTCAACCATTTTTGAACCTGGATTAGGTCGGTGCACTGCTATGAAAGCAACACTTCGGTTGAAACATGGGGCTAAGCCTGCTTTTCGTCCAAAGAGACCTGTACCGTATGCTACATTAGCAACAGTAGATGAAGAGCTGGATCGCCTTCAACGACAAGGAGTTATTACTCCCGTTTCTTACTCCAGTTGGGCAGCACCTATAGTCGTTATCAAGAAGGCCAACGGCACGATACGTATATGTGCTGACTTCTCTACAGGTCTCAACGCAGCTCTAGAACAGCATCATTATCCTCTGCCAGTCCCGGCAGATCTGTTCACTATGCTGAATGGGGGAAAGTTCTTCGCAAAGCTTGACCTAGCTGATGCTTATTTGCAAGTGGAAGTCGATGAAGCATCTAAAGAGCTGCTTACTATCAACACTCATCGCGGTTTGTTTCAGTATAACCGTCTACCTTTTGGAGTTAAGACTGCGCCGTCTATCTTCCAACAACTAATGGATACAATCCTGTCAGATATCCCAGGGGTTGCAGCTTATCTCGATGATATCTTGATTGTTGCGAAGACGTTAGAACAGCTACGGGAACGCACGACATTGGTACTACAACGCATCAGTGACAATGGTTTCCGGTTACGCCCAGAAAAATGCCAGTTTCTATTGCAGTCGGTAAAGTATTTGGGATTTATCTTTGATGCCGACGGTCGCAGACCGGATCCTGAAAACATCCGAGCTATCAAACTGATGCCTACTCCCACTAATGTTTCCGAATTACGATCTTTTCTCGGTTTGATCAGTTATTATTCAGCTTTTGTTCCCTCGATGCATGATATTCGCGCTCCATTGAATTGTCTACTGCAGAAGCATAGCACATGGAACTGGAATAAAGAGTGTGACGCGGCTTTTGGTAAACTCAAGTCTATAATCAGCTCGGAATTGTTATTAACACACTACGATCCATCCATGCCGATCATCGTAGCAGCAGACGCTTCAGCATATGGCCTAGGTGCTGTTATTTCACATCAGTTTCCAGACGCGTCAGAAAAAGCCGTCATGCATGCATCCCGTACACTGACCCCAGCAGAAAAGAAGTATAGCCAGATAGAGAAAGAAGCTCTTGCCCTTGTGTTTGCTGTTCGCCGTTTCCATAAGTTTCTGTACGGTCGGAGATTCACGCTCCTCACAGATCACAAGCCTCTGTTAGCAATATTTGGTTCAAAGTCTGGCATTCCAGCCCATTCTGCAAATCGTCTTCAGCGATGGGCCTTGGTACTTTTGGGGTATGATTTCGAAATCCAATATCGACGCACTCTACAATTCGGTCAAGCAGACGCTTTGTCACGACTCATTAATGATCAAGTGGCGGCTGAGGAAAACATGGTGATCGCATCTCTGTCAGTAGAAGACCACGCAGAATGTGATCTGACAACCGCAGTTCGCGCATTACCGGTGTCTGCAACAGACATACAAAATGCTTCTAGAAACGACCCCATCATCAAGACGACGATGAAATATGTCACTAAAGGTTGGCCGTCGAAAAAGTTTGAAGGTGACATGAAGCAACTGTATCAGCGGCGGGAGTCACTATGCATCGTCAACGATTGTCTGATGTTTGGTGAAAGAGTAGTGGTGCCAGCATCCCTTCGTGCAAAAGTTCTGAAACAGTTCCATCTTGGTCATCCTGGGATTAAACGAATGAAGTCCATAGCCAGGAGTTATGCATACTGGCCTCACATGGATCAACATGTCACAGCGTTGGTTGAAAAATGCATCCGGTGTCAGCAGGCGGCAAAGATGAATGCCAAAATTCCGCCGGTTTCATGGCCCAAACCTGAGCATCCTTGGTCCAGGATACATGTCGACTTCGCTGGCCCAATAAATGGAACTATGTATTTAATTGTCGTCGACGCCTTCTCTAAATGGCCGGAAATCAGCCCCGTTATACCGCCCACTACAACTAAGACTATACAGCTCCTAACTGAAATTTTCTCACGGAATGGCATACCAGATGTGATCGTATCCGACAATGGCTCTCAATTCACCTCTTCCCAATTCCAGAATTTCTGTCAACGGCTAGCTATTAAACACTTACGCTCGCCACCATACCACCCGCAATCGAATGGGCAGGCGGAAAGGTTTGTGGATACGTTTAAAAGAGCACTGCTCAAGTCAAAAGGGGAGGGGACGCCAGCCGAAACGTTACAAAATTTCTTGTACGTCTATCGGACAACACCAAATGAATTGTTACCGGAGCAAAAGTCCCCAGCTGAAATCCTGATGGGAAGAAGATTGAAAACGATTCACAGCCTGATGCATCCGACCAATGCACCCTCATCAGTAAAGACAAAGCAGCAAAGACAATCCGCTTACGAAGTAGGATGCCCTGTGTTTGCCCGCGACTACAGAACGAACCATGGTCCTTGGGTAGAAGCGAGAGTGGTCAGAAGGGTTGGTCGAGTTATGTACGAAGTAGAGGTAGGAGGTGATAAATGGTCACGTCATCGCAATCAGATACGCAGACGGCTAGCCCCAGATCGCCCATCAAGAGCAGAAAGCCTTCCCCTTGACATCTTGCTTGATACCTTCAACCTACCGAGAGCCCCGCCACGAGAAGAAACTCAGCAGCAAGCTGTTCTTCGTTCCCGAAGGTATCCCCTCAGACAGCGGCGAACAATAGTCAAGATGCAAGTCAACCACAGGAGAACACGCTATTAAAAAGGGGAGGAGTGTTGGGGATGTTAGATCCCCAAAATTCGCTTGATAATGCCGTATTTCGGTTTTCACGTTCGCCAGCAGGGGCTGATCAAATGACCTTGAGATTTCAACTCCCACCAGGAAAATCAATGGCTGTGATTGGCCACAGTGTATTTTAGTATGCTATTTTCTTAACTGTCTCAAGGACGTTGTTATGTTGTATAAATAAACGAGAGTTGTATGCTTGATTGTACTGGGATTGCTGGGTGTTTGTAGAATATACTTTCTACGCTTACCAAGACTTCTGTTTTACCGCTGGATTCAAGGTAGCCTTCCTGGAAGCTGGTAAAAGTATCGTTCGCGTTTATCGACTAAGGTAAACTCGTAATAGCATCAAGCATCCTAAGTGACGAACATATCATAATGTTTTGTAAATCGCCCATTTTTAAAATTGGAATTCCTACGTTAAACCTTACCTTTTCACTTAACTACTGCTGTAAAAAATTAACGCTCTGACTTTGTTCAATTTCAACTCACAAAGTATTCGCTGTTCACATTATCAACTGATTTTCATGAACCATTTTTTTTAAACATGAATATGTAACATTATTTGTTCCATCGCATGACCAGTATATACCAAATAGTCCTATAGTTGTATCGAATAATTTTGCTGCTTACTTTACTTGTACAGGTCACAAGTGATTTCATTTGAATTAATGGATTCCGCTGATGCTGATTTTTGTACTACACCGTTGAGTATGAAAGAAGCAAGACAAACTAATTCTACACCTCATAAGATGGTTGGTTTGAAAATGGAACATTCATGTCGAAATGATGCTATCAAATCAAATGTTAAATCATTTATACAATCTAAATCATGGAATAAACTTAGTGATTCTGATGAAGATATATCGAGCGGAAATATAAATGAAGTAACAATAAGGAGTAAATGTAAATGTGTTAGCCAACAAAATGACTGGCAACCTTATACTGTTTCAACAATGAATAAAATTAGTGATTCCTATGTTTATATAGAGGATGAATCAAACCAATGTGATGCTTGTACACAGGTTAGTAGCAGTGTAACTGAACATTATCAATTCAACTTGTACTTAGACGAACGATTTTTATTCCAACACATAAACATTTTTACAAAGGCTCACCAAAAATACATGCATCACACAAATAGTTGTATTTGTGTTTGGACTGGGATAATACAAAGGCTGTCGATTCGGAGTACATGATTATCGTAAGGTGCATTCGACCTAATCGTTCGATCTAAAAGACTGCCTAATTGGATAGGATGGTGAAGCAACGTCATGAGATGCATACCATAGTAACTGCTGACCAACAATAGGTTGATAAGCTATTTGTTCCTTCATGATATTGCAGTCCATGTGTAAGATTAGTTTTTAGAATCGGTTTTCCGACTGCCCTAAGCGGATCCTTCGCAACCACTATTTGGGTTAAATTTCCAGACATCCGCATCTTATCCCCTAAATTCTGCAAACAAAACCCCATTAATCAAATGCAGTGATTGAGCCTTTCTTGACTGGCTCTAAGAGAGTGTTCGGACGTCTCGGATGTAACAGGTAATCCGGATGCGGTACACTGTGCTTAAGGAACTGTGTTAAAAAAAATAATAGTCTTTAGTTTGGCTTGTTATCATTAAGTTCATGTGATTAATTTAAAACAATATTATATAAAGATTATTTCCATTAGGAAAGCAGAAAGTGTTGATTTAAATCTTTTGAAAATTGTAAACATTGAGTAATTTGTTTGATGTGAAACGCGATTTGAATTAAATCACCGTGGTTTTAAAATGTATCTGTAAAGATATTGATTCGGAAACAAATTTAAGATTTTGGTGAATAGCACCATAACAGAACTATGTCATCTGCGTATTCTAAGCTAACAAGTGAATTAATTACCTGATCGAAGGTAAGCTGCTGAGAAGTCACACGATGAAAGCACGCGCATGAAGCAAGAGTAGAGAAATTAGACAATCATGACTAACGCCATTTCAAGTAAATAATTCCGATGACTGTTCCCCATTCGTTGTGACTACACCGGTATTGTTTGAGTATAGAAATGGCATAACGTTACTGTACTTTTTTGGTTCTCCTTCCAATGACTAACAGTGCCACAGAATCTCATGATCAACAAAGTCAAATACCGACTTTAAGTCGAGAAATGCAACTGTTGTGTGACGTGTTAGAACTAGTTATGACACAGAACACACTACTATCATTAAGGCAAATCTATACAGAGTTTTAGTTCACCTGATAGGTGATAAACAGTTGTGAAATCTGAGAATGCCAATAAACTATTGTATGATAGAACATTCAAAAACAAATAACATCAGAAGTCCCACCATAAAAATATTGTAACGTTTTTGACAATTCTGCTGATCCATTGCTTGAGTATCCGTGTCTAGTTAACCAGGGTCGAAAATCTCATTGAAATAATGTGAAAAAATTAAATTGCAACAAAACGTATCGCACTGTGACAAAATAATTAAACCAACAGAAAGGCCTAGAAGTAGGCACTTAATCCATAATTCCATCATCAAACATTCAGCTGCCCACATAGAAATGATTTAAGGTTCGACTATATAACATGTTTTGAAATACGAATACGATTTTATATCGCTGGTCCAGTTTTTATCAGTCATTTGTGAAAACTAACTTTGAAGAACATTTTTGTTCACAAGTCTCATTATCAGCTGTCGCTTACAAGATACTGTTTTTCTGAAAACTGAACACATGGTTTGGTTATTGGTTGATAAGTTACAATGTCACTTCATTCATCTTTGATTGTAGTGATGTCAAGCTCAGTTTAGTACTTCTGCGCTATAATTTATTGTTGTTCGAAA